AGGGTTTCAAGGTTTCAGGGTTTAGGGTTTAGGGTTTTAGGGTGCAGGGTTGGGGGTTGAGGGTCTAGGGTTCAGGGTGGAGGCTCTAGGGTTTCAGGGTTTAGGGTTCAGGGTGTAGGGTTTAGGGTTTCAGGGTATAGGGTTTAGGTTGTTAGGGTGTAGGGTCTAGGGTTCAGGGTGTAGGGCTCAGGGTTTTGGGTTGAGGGTCTAGGGTTTAGGGTTGAGGCTTGAGGGTTCAGGGTTCAGGGTTCAGGGTGTCAGGGTTTCAGGGTTTCATTAGGGTGTGGGGTTTCGGGGGGAAGTGGGAGTTCAAGAAGGCAAGGGATCCTAGTGTGGGTACTTAAAGGATCCCGGGACTTAGTAGGGACTAGGGTTTAGGGTTTAGCGTTTAGGGTTTAGGGTTTAGGGTTTAGGGTTTAGGTAAAGGATCCCGGGACTTAGTAAGTAGGGATATAACTAAGGTAACTATACTTATAATTACTTATAACACCAATTAAGGGACTTATAACCTTACTTGTCTTCGTAAGGTGTTGCAAAGGGTAATAGACAGAAGGGGTCTTCTAGGATTTCATATGAGGGTTTCAGGCTTAGATCAGGTTTAAACAGCGGTTCTCACATTTCACAGCAGTCATAAACAGATCCATCATGTTTAGCGACAGTCTTCTAGCTCCTTATACTCACAACCGTTCTGGGATTTTTGCCGGTCACAAATTGCCCAACTTGCCACAATGATGACCGCAATGACTATCACAGTGCCAACAACCCGAATTCGCGGCCCTGAGCCACACTCATAAAGCAAAAGGTGGTGGCGATGGTGGGTGGTGGTGGGCTGTTGTGATGTTGTTCGTGGTCATAGTCGTTGTCGTTGCCATCGTCGCGGCCATAACCAACTCTAAGACTTCGACCTGAAAACCCGAAACCCCAAACCCTAAACGCTAAACCCTAAACCGAAACCCTGAAGCCTCAATCCCGATCTGCTACCGCAACTTCCGAAGCCTGGACTCTTCACTGGGTAGGCCATTGGGGTATTGTTCATGTATCCTTCTTGTGTTAAGACGATCTGACTTTCAAACACATGTTTCAGAGGGTTTCAAGGCGCTTCATAGTTAATCCACTGTATGCTGTCCCGACTTTGCAAAGGACCTCATCTTGACATCCTGCGTGTGTCACGCTCGTGTTTCCGTGCAGTGTACTATAGGGACCTGAATAATTACCTATGCTCTTTTGGGATTCCTTATTACTATTATAGTAGACTATACCATAGAGGTCTGAATTCTCAATAACATCCCCTTGCAGTGCCGATAAAAACATACCCCCGGAAACGTCAACCTAGTCACTCAAAGGTCCGTGTCTGAAACCATATGAACCCTAAGCCCCTAAACCCCAGACCCTAAACCCCAAACCGCAAACCCCTACTCGTAAACCCTAAACCCTAAACCCTAGACCCAAAACCGCAAACCCTAAACCCAAAACCGCAAACCCTAAACCCTAAACCCTAAACCCTAAACCCTCCTCGTAAACCCTAAGCCCCCTATGAACCCCCCCCCCCCCTCTCTCGCTGGGGGTGGCGGAGGTCAGGCTTCGGGGGTGGGGAGTTGGGAGATGAGAGCTCCTTTTTTGGGTTAAGGGGTTTAGGGTTTAGGGGTTTAGGGTAGAGGGGTTTAGGGTTTAGGGTTTAGGGTTTTAGGGTTTAGGGTTTAGGGTTTAGGGTTTAGGACCGGGGTTTGGGGTTTAGGGTGCCCCAAACCCAATGATCCAAATTTCTAAACCCCAAATCCCAAACCCCAAACACCAGAATCCGACCTTTTTTTCTAGAGTTTTAGGGTTTAGGGTTTTTTTAAAGGGAACTCTCAAGACTCACCCGAAAAGCCTCCTGCTTGGAGAAGGCAGAAAGAGCCAAGCGGTCCTGCCTGCTCGTGTCTTGAGGGACGATGCCCGGTGTTCTCCCCAGACCCCCAAAAGGATCTAAAAAATAGATCCGCTAAGGGGGTTCCTATAAAGTACCCTTTTGTAGTTAGGGTCCCTAATTAGGGGATCTATTTTTTAGATCCTTTTGGGGGTCTGGGTCTTGGGTTTTACAAAGGGCGGGCCGGGTTTATCGGCTTGTAGGCTGCTTGGGTTTAGGGTTTAGGGTTTAGGGTTTAGGGTTTAGGGTTTAGGGTTTAGGGTTTAGGGTTTAGGGTTTAGGGTTTAGGGTTTAGGGTTTAGGGTTTAGGGTTTCAGGGAAGGCTGCCCGATCACCCAGTGGTTCGTATCTCTTGTCGTTTTTGGTTGCGGGTTCCAGGGGCGTTGCAAAGGATTCGTAGACTTCAATATCCCCAAAATGAAAATTTCCTCCTGAATCGAGAGATTTGGGAGCCCTTTCGTAGCTTTGCAATTCCGCCGTTTTCTCATCATCGCGGAGGGTTTGTCAACACAGTTTTATCTCCGAGACTCCTGTAAACCCCATTCCAGACGAACGGGTAGTGAGGCTTGGGTATCGCGGCTCACGTGTTTAGGGTTTAGGGGTTTAGGGGTTTAAGGGGGTTTTGGGTGTTGGGGGCTGGGTTGAGTTATGACGGACCCTAAACCCTTAACCCTAAACTGGGTTGAGTTATGATTTCCCGGGCTGAGGCTCGAGAGGTTGAGTTTGGTGTGCGTTGAGGGCCAAGGGTGTGTCGTTGTGATACTGAAAAGCTGTCGGTTGTAGCTCTTCAGGGCGGCGTGACGCCAGAGGTATCCAATAATTTATAAGGGCCTAAACAGCTTCCTTACTATTCTGGGGGTTCCTTGTTAGAGTTACCCTATTCTAATTATTAAGGCCACTAGAATAGGCCACGGGTTCGGAAGTTTGGGACAGGGCACCTGCGAGTGAGGTTTTGGGATCACAGCACCAGGTATCGTGAAGCTTGAGCAGTGATTGATGTCGGGTCTGGCGTCCTTGAATCCTACAACTCCTACAACCCCTCCACCTGAACATGAGAAGCAGTGAAAATCCCGAACCCGAAACCCGAGCCATCGTTACACACTATTCCTCAGGTTCCTAATGTAATATAAATAGATTCAGGCCCCTCTTAGACCCTAAGCTAAGCTTTGAATTCTGGAATCTAAGCCCCAAGCTTCCTCCCTGCCCTCTGGCTGCCGATTTGCCTGCGAACGATACCTGGGTGGGATCCGCCCGGCGCTTGGAACGCGAAAGGGTTTAGGGTGTAGGGTTTTAGGGTTTAGCGTTTAGTGCAACAGTTGTGACCCTGCCCTTTGTACACACCAGACGCTTTCCGAAGCCCTGAAATCCATCAAGGAAAAGTGTTTGATGGTAGCGGAGCCCGGTCCGATCTAGTCGGCCGGGTCTTCCGAGTAGTCACGCCAAGGAGGCTGGAGGCCAACCAAGTTTCACCGCATAATAGCTTTTCTGCGACTGTTGTCCTTTTGTGCCTCTGCTGCAGTTTACTCTGCCAGATCGGCAGCGTCGCTGCACTTCACTGTGCCGACGCCACAGTTTTCAGCGTAAGTCCCCCTGGAGCTGGGGCAGCACCGGAGCCTGAGGGCAGTTTTCCTGGGTGGCTGCAAGGTGAGCAGCGTGGCGCGTGGTTTGAGGAGCCGAGCAAGTATTTACCTGCAGGCTGGTGGGAAGTTGATATGGACAATGGTGCTGGAGATGCGGCTGCAGTGGCTGCACAGCAGGCGGCTCAACAGCAGGCCGCAGTGACTGCACAGCAGGCGGCCCAACAACAGGCCGCGCATCAGGCTGCGCAGCAGGCAGCCCAGCAACAGGCCGCAGTGGCGGCACAACAGGCAGCCCAGGCGGGGCAGGCTGGAATGGTTGCAATGGATCAGGTGGACCGGCTGGTGAGACAAAGGCTGGAACAGGCTTTCAATGGCGTTTTTGGTCGGCTGCTATCCACCACGGAGAAGGCAGCCCAGGCGGCGGAAGCAAACGCAGCTTCGCACAAGACAGATAGCATGATGAAGGGCTTGAAGGTGGATGTCTTTAGGCCGACGACGAGGGAGGAAGAGCTTCGAGGCTGGAAGGAATGGTGGTTTGGGTTTTCTACATATGTTTGCGGGCACGACCCAGCCTACGAGGATGACTTCAAGGGGATCGACCTTGCCGCGGAGGTGGACCAGAGTCTAATGAGCGATGCCGAGCTGGAGCGCAGCAGGAAGCTTTATAGCTTGCTGTGTTCCCTGCTGAAAGGGAGGCCGCTTCTCCTGATCAAGGGCCTGGAGGGCTCGAAGAACGGCATGGAAGCAATTCGCCTCCTACGCAATGCTATGGAGCCACAGGAAAAGACGAGGAGCCTGGCTCTTCTTCGGCAGCTCGCGGGCTGGACTTTCCAGGCCGGCGTGGGGCTCCAGGAGCAGATTGTGAAGTACGAGGAGGCGCTGAAGATGTACGAGGACGCTGCGGGGAAGGAGTTCCCTCCAGACCTTGTGCTGGCAACCGTGGTCAATGGCTTGAGGGACCCGCTCAGGAGCCAAGTCCAAATGAGAATGACGAGCCGCACCACCTATGCCGAGGTCAAGGAGTGGGTGGTGCAGTACGAGAACATGAATGCTCCGTGGAGTTCGTCTTTGCAGGGCGGACGCGGAGGAGCGAAGCGAGACGAGCCGCAGCCGATGGAAGTGGACATGGTCAAGGGCAAGGGCAAGGACAAAGGGAAGAGCAAAGGAAAGGATAAGAATGGCAAGGGCAAAGGCAAGGAGAAAGGGAAGCAGAAGGGCAAGTTTGGTGACGGCAAAGGCTGGAGCAACTGGCATGACCAAGGAGCAAAGTGGAAGCAACAGCCGGGGAGCTACAACAACAATGGTGGCAATGGTTCCTGGAACACTGGCTGGGGAACCAGCTGGAACGGACAGGCCTGGACTTCGGGGAAGGACAAGGGCAAGAGCGGAAAAGGAAAAGGCGTGGGAGCTGGCTGTGCAATTTGCGGCGACCTGCGGCACTGGAAGAATGAGTGCCCAAAGGGAAAAGGAAAGGGGGTGAACCAGGTGGAGCAGCAGTCGTCGTCGGCAAGCTCGGTGGCTGGGACTTCAACGGCTGCTTCGTCTACGCCCTCCTCAGCGTCAGCTCTCAGAGCCCAGGTGCAGTACGGGGTCAACCGTGTTAGCACGCACTTCTGCGGCACTCCCCCGGGCTGCAGGATAACAGAGGTTTTCGATATCTCCGAGCTCGAGGACGAGGGCGAGTTCTCCCTTGAGGCCCCCGACGTCTTCATGATAAGCGCCGTGGGCTTTGCCGACGGTTTCTTCCAGGACACAGCCACCAGCAAGGAGAAGGTGATTGAGGTGCCCGAGGGTGTCCCGGTGTTCTCCATGGACCATACGGACGGCGACGGGATGTACACGCTGCCGGGTGAGACGGGCAATGTGTTTGAGGTGCTGGCTGTTTCCAGTGGGCCCTTGGAGGTCGACGTGGTGATAGACAGTGGGGCTGATATCTCGGTGGCCCCGCTGCAGTTCAGGGGCCTTGGGTGCCCCACCCGCCGCTCAGGAGTTATCATGCAGGACGCGCAGGGCAAGCAGATCGCTGAGGTCGACACCCGCATCCTCGAGGTGGCGGTCAAGACGGTGGCCGGGGACGAGGTGACGATCAGAGAGCGCTTCTGCATAGCCAAGGTGCGCTCAACAATCCTTTCGCTGGGGCGTCTTCTGCGAGCAGGCTGGCTTCTTGGAGATGAGTGCGGGAAGCCGGTCATTCAGCAAGGGCCCCACAAAGTCCCAATACGCTTGCGGCGCAACACCCTGACGGTTGGCGCCATGATCTCTGAAGTTGCTGTGCCAGAGGAGAACGACGAGAACGAGTGCACCAAGGAGGCCGAAACGCCAAGGCGGGGCATCAACATGTTGACCTTCGACGATATGGGCCCTTTGCCTCCAGAGCTCGAGGATGTCATGGCGACCCCTGGATGGCACATAGTGCCAAGCGGCTTGCCTGTTTTGGTGAGCCATGCCACGGAGGAGCTTGAGCTGGAGCGTTCTCTTTGGGATGTAGATGACTGGGCTTGGGTGGCAATTTTCGTGAAGCTCGAGCCCAGCAAGGGGCTTCCCACGGCCGGCGACGTCTGGGTGCAGGCCATGACCATGGAGACGGTGAACTTCGAGGCTGCACCCAAGAAGCTGGAGGAGATCGACGAGGAGCTCAAAGGAAAGCATGATGTGGTTATGGTGCTGGGCGTGGAGGAGTTCCCCAAGGACCTGCTTTCAAGCCCGAGAGACTTCTTCAAAGAGCCGGTGACCGGAGATGTGGCAATGCCGGCTGGAGACAATGGCGGTGGAATGGGCGACGACCCCCTGATTGAGGTCGGTGCCGAGCGGACACATGAAGCCGAGGAGCCAGACGAGGTTGAGGAGCTCGAGGGTGTCAGGTTGGAACAGGCCACACCCCTAAAGGAACTTCGGCAACTATGTGACAAGCTCGGCCTGGCAAAGTCGGGCGGGAAAGCAAAGGTCCTGCGTCGGCTCAGGGATCACCATGAGATCCTGGAGAAGCAAATGAGTGCGGAGATCGCGAAGAAGATGTTCCAGGAGGCAGAGAGGAACCCGGAAATGCCGAAGATGCCCAAGCTTCCCAGTGCGGCCCAGCAGCAGCTGCACAATGTTACGCACCATCCCTTTGCCGCATGGTGTGAGGCATGCGTCTTGGGGAGGGCAAAGCAAACACCACACCCAAAGGAGGACCCCGAGAAGCCCACCGAGGAGACCCGAAAGACGATCAAGATCGAGATTGACTACTGCTACACCTTTACCAAGCAAAGGCATGAAGTTCAAGAAGGCGAAGGCGAGCAGGGAAATGGAGATGCTCGGGCAGATGCCGATGATGGGGCCCAACGGCCAGACAACGCCCAGGGCGAGAGAGGGCCAGAAGAAGGAGTCGAGGAGAAGATTGACTACCGCGACCAGTTTGGTTTGACCCTGGTGGCTGCTGAGAGCAGCACGGGCTGGCTGCTTGCAATCCCGGTCCTTGAGAAAGGGGCTGGGGCCCTGAAGCGCGTTGTGGAGCAGCTGGTGCGACTATCTCTTCAAGTTGCTCCTGGCCAAGCCGTGCTCTTCCAGGGCGACCCCGAGGTCTCAATCCGCCAGGTGATCAACGCTTGCGAAGCTTGCCGGGCAAGGCTGGGATTAGCGACAGAGAAGAGATGGGTGCCGAGAGGAAGCCATGCCAGCAACGGGCAGGCTGAGAAAGCCATCCAGACCATCAGGACCAACGCCTTGACCCTGAGATCCTTTGTGGAGGCGCGGATTGGAGCCTCCATTGAAGGGCAACGGCACTTCTTCCCATGGGTTATGAGGCACGCGGGGTACTTATACAACCGTTTCGCGGTCAACCCGCGGGGCTCTACGAGCTTTGAGTTGCTGTATGGGCGTGCCTTCCGCTCCCAGCTTGTCCCAATGGGAGAACAGGTGCTGTACTACCGTGCATCGAAGCACCGTGGTGATGTCAAGTGGTCGAAGGGAGTTTGGCTGGGGCTGCATGAGAGAAACGGTGCTCATCTGGTTGGGTCTGCTGAGGGGATCCAGGAGACACGTTCGATTCGGCGTCTTCCCGAAGAACAGCAATGGAGCGCCGAGGCCGTGCTTGGAATGAAAGGGCTCCCCTGGTCCTATATGGGCCAGGGAAAGAGGAAGCGACCTCTCTACACAGGGGCGGCGGCTGTGCGCCTACCATTGCTGCCCGACAGTGCCACTTTGGAAGAGCTAGCCCGAGCAGCTGGGAAGGCGGCGGCCGAAGCAATATCGAGTGCCACTCCGGTGGCGCCACCCGCGGCTGGGCCGGGGCCAGATGAAGCTGGCTCAGACTCGCCTACGACCTCAAGCCCGACAACACCGACACAAGGGGAAAGCCAAAGCCAACGAGCACGAGAACCGAATGGACCACAAGAGGAATCACAACAGCGACTTCGAGCACAAGGGGAAAGCCGAAGCCAACAAGGGCGAGAACCGGATGGACCACAGGAGGAATCACGACAGCGACTTCAAGCACAAGGGGGTGGTTCAGCAATGGACGTTGGTGGTGGTGACGCGGTCCCTAGAGATAGACCAGAGCCCGAAGGAGTGGTGTCCCCCAAAAGACCTCGTCTTCTGCTTGATCGCCCACAGAGAATGTCACCTAGTCCTGCTGCTTCTCCTGGTGCGAGTTCATCGTTGTATCCTCCTGGCTTTGCTGGCGTGAACGAGGTCCACGATGATATCTCCAATGCTGAGCTGGCCGGGCTCGACACGTGGGATGACGATCTCGAGGCGACTATGGAGCATGAGTGGTATGAAGCAGGTGAGCCAGAGGAGCCTTGGTGGGATGAGTTTGGCGACAGGCCCCCCGAGGTCACTGACGAGGAGCTTGCCATGATCGACAGGCGAGCCGACCTGACTGAGTTAAAGCGACTTATGTCAATGGGGGTGGCGCGCTTTGCCAAGGACGACGAGGACCTCAGCAGCCACGAGCTCTTGACAACGAAGCTGGTGAGAGACTGGCGCAAGCGGCCCAACTGGGTGAGGCGTTCAAGGTTGGTGGCAAGAGAGTTCAGGACCCTAGCCGCGTGGTCCAGTGACATGTTTGCACCGAGCAGTTCCTTAGCCATCGTGCGCACCATGATCGCCTATGCCCTGACCAACAACCTCGAGATCACAACGCTCGACGTGAAGGATGCCTACCTCAATGTTGACCAGCCGGGCAAGGTCATCATACAAGTTGCTGCGAACCTCTTCGAGGAAAATGGCGTTGGGTTCAAAACGCTTGTTCTAGACAAGTTGCTCCCAGGGCAACGTGTGGGAGCAAGCTCCTGGTTCGAGATGGCCAAGGGCATTTTGCAGGAGGCCAAGATGGAGAGCTACCCCAAGGAGCCCACGGTGTTCAAGGCAACGGACCCCGACGAGAAGACCGCGATGATTTTGCATGCCGACGACGGGTTGCTGGCTTCCAGCAAAACAGAAAGGGAGAGGGTCATCGGCGTGTTCAGTGGAAAGGTCACAGTGCAGGTCGGAGCTCCCATGGCCGTCGAGGGCGACTCCTTTGAGTTAAGCGCAGGTATGTGAAGATGGCTGATGGAGTGGCTGTTTTCTCCAACGGGAAGTACTTAGAGTCCCTTCTCAAGACGGCCGGGCCGAACCTTAAGAGACGAGATGCGCCAGCGGACCAGACATTCCAGGACACCGACGAGACAAAGGAGCTGGACCCAGCCAAGGCCAAGGTCTACAAGGAGTCGGTGGGGAGGCTCCTGTACTTGTCGCATTCGCGGCCTGACATCCAGATGCCGGTCTGCGTGCTGGCTTCCAGAATGTCCTCCCCAACTGCCGGTGCCTACAAGCAGCTGATGCGCGTCATTGGGTACCTGGCAGCGGTCCCCGACATCGGCTTCATGATCAGGCCAGTGGTTTCGGGAGCAAGGCTCAGATGGCCTGGGAATCCGAATGACAATGAGGAGATGATCTATGAGGTCGAGAGTGTAACAGATTCGGATTGGGCCGGGTGCAAGCGGTCCAGGCGAAGCCGAACCTCAATACAGATGTACGTCGGAGGAGGATTCGTGGGGAGCATGGTCCGCTCACAGCGGTCAGTGGCACTCAGCTCGGCTGAGTCGGAGTACTTAGCCCTCATAAGTGGAGCGTGTGAGGCCATCTTCGTCGTGGACGTCCTAAAGTTCCTGGTCGGTGGCTCTGCCCAGGTGAGGCTGACATGCCGCACCGATTCGGCGGCATGCCGAGGAATATGCCAGAGGCTCGGCGCGGGGAGGGTGAGGCACCTGCACTGCGCGGTCCTGTGGGTGCAACAAGCAGTTCGCAACAAGCAGCTACAAGTGGCCACGGTCAGTGGAGCGGAAAACCCTGCTGACCTTGGAACAAAGCCCCTCCCGAACAGCCGCGTCAAGGAGCTACTTTGGATGATGGGTTGTGTCGAGAGTGATGGCACTCCCTATGGGCTCGAGGAGTTCGAGGCGGCAACGCAGAAGAGGATGATGGCCCAGATGCTCAAGGACATGAAGAGCAGCGGGGCCAAAGTGAACAACGTGAAGGCCCTCCTTCCACTGGTGCTTCTTCTTTCGCAGGTGAATGGAGTGCAGGGCTTGGGCCTGGCGGCGGTGGTGCCGGTGGTTGGCGACACAGACTTCATTGTCACCATGGCGGTGGCGATTGGGTTTGGAACCTTCCTCGCCATGGTGGTCTATGGTGTTCCCTGGGGCCTGCTGAAGCTACTTAAGTGGAGTTTCAGCCTTTTCCAAGACCAAGGAAAGCGAGGCAAGCTCGAGAACACTGCTGAGAAGGGGATCCAGGCAAGCCGCGGCATGAGCAAGGACGAGAGCAAGTTCATCGAGGAGTACGTGGAACGGTGCAATGAACTGCGCGCGGTGGTGAGTGAGCAGCGGGCTGAGTTGGAAAAGTTTGAAAGGGTGGTGCGCGAACTGCGCGCTGAGAACTATGATCTCTCCAGACGCCCGGATCGAATGCAGATCCCACCGGAGATAGCAGTGACGACGAGCAGAGGGGAGCGATTTCATCTGCCGAGTTGTGGGAATATTAGGAATAAGGGGTATCGCATTTATACTCCTTGCCTTACGTGTTTCGGAAGAGGCGGATGATTTCGTGACCCGGCCTCACTTTCTCCAACGGCAGCAGAAAACCTGTAAGCTGTTTTCTGCTGAGGCGGGGTGCAACAGTTGTGACCCTGCCCTTTGTACACACCAGACGCTTTCCGAAGCCCTGAAATCCATCAAGGAAAAGTGTTTGATTTAGGGTGTAGGGTGTAGGGTTTTCTTGATGTGCGGTTTTGGGGCTTCAGACTCATGCGGAGTTGTAGCGGGGAGTGGTGCTGGTGAGGGTGGTAGCGATGGTGGCAGTGGTGGTGGTAGCGGCGGCGGCAGAAGCAGGAGAACATCAGTAGTCGTCGTCGTTGTAGTCGTGGGGCACGGACACCTTGACCCAAGCCGCTAAACCCTAAACCCAAAACCCAAAACCCTAAACCCTAAACCTCCAGACCCTAAACCCCTAAACCCTAAACCCTAAACCCTAAGCCCTAAACCCTAAACCCTAAGCCCTAAACCCCTGAAATTTCAAAAAAACTTGACTCTGACAGCTCTCTGCCCTAAACCCAATTCGAACCCTGATTAAAACCACAGCCGTAACAGCTGCAATCATAAACACCTCCGAGCCCTAAGCCCTGACACCTCTCAAGCCTAAGCCCTAAATAGAGCCCTCATAAATCCTTACAAACTCTCTGATCTTCACACGACGAGCCCTCAACCCCCAACACGCTGAAGCCCCACCCAGCGCCATAGAACCTTCATTACACCCCCTCGTACAACAGCTCTAAAGATGGAGACATGTCAGCCTCGCTCCTCTTTGGGAACCCTCATAGCACCCTTACAAAAACCGTGAGGGCTTAAAGGGTTTAGGGTTTAGGTTTAGTGCTTGGGGTTAAGGAAGCCCTAAACCCTAAAGCCCTAAAACTCATGCTAAGCCCCAACGCCTCGAAACCTGAACCCTAAACCCTAAACCCTAAACCCTAAACCCCTAAACCCTAAACCCTAAACCCTAAACCCTAAACCCTAAACCCTAAACCCTAAAGCCCTAGCACCCACGCTGAGCCCCAACGCCTCGAAACCTGAAAAGCTTGGATTTCCGCAGCCGTTTCGGTGCGAAAGCTCCTGAGCTTCCAAAGACCAGAGACCCTCAGCATTAGCATCCTCAAGGCGCTCTTGGCATAATATAGGGGCCTTAATAATTACCTAAATTATTTTTTGGGGGTTCCGTAGCATAATTCTGGTATAGTATATCCCGAAACCCTAAAACCCTAAAGCCTCAAGGCGCTCTTGGCATAATATAGGGGCCTTAATAGTTA